TGAAAAGTGTATTAGATATACCGGAGACAAAAAACAAACTGACTGCTAAATTGACAAATTATTGTTGAACAAATGATCCTCCGGCCCTTATTCCCGTCTAAAAAGACACTAAAGCACGTTCGATTATTTAACAATTGAAATTTACCCATGGACAAAATTATAGAAAATGGAAATAAAATATTATACCTTCAAGGCCTAACAAATTAAAAACAAAATAATAGTGACTGGTAAGTAACCAAAATGGGAAACGTTTTTTATACACATAATGATGATAACAATATTAATAAATCTTTAAATTATTAAAATAAACTGTTCGTTACATTGGTATCCATTAGTACACATATGTATCATAGATTGCGTATATTTTACAATAGCTCTTTCAGTGGTATGTAGGTGGATTGTTGCAAGGCAAACTATTTGTCCCAGTAATTCAACATACACACCTTTTCAGTCACTGTTCAAATTTCCCGCCTTTAATCCATGTCTACCCTCTTGTAGAACCTACATGTTGGATTTATTGATAGTTTGTTATTATCGTCAGTATTAATACTTGTAATATTTGCCACTGGACAATTATTAATCAATATTAGATCGGTTGTATTGTATCATATCATTATGTTTTCTGTTATAATGGAGAATAATTTTGTATTGATGGTAAATGAGTTTCTGCTTAATTTATTCAGAAATAGATTGTTAAATATATCATTAAAACATGATAATAACCATATCGGAAGAAGCACCACAGAAACCGACGTACACAATCTTGTATTGGTCTTTAAAACAAAGCTTTGGGAGCAAATAGATGGGATCCTATTTAACTAGGAGGGGCCAACATTATAATTTGTGTCGGAAGAAAAGATTTTGTTTTTTGGGAGAGTTGAAACTTTATTTTGTATCATTTTCGGATAACTTTAAAAATGCATGACGAGTGCATGCATAATTCTCGATTACGCAGCGACTATAGTACATTTTTAGAGATTGACAGTCCATTAACGCTTGTATACAATACAATAATACAATACAATATTTTTATTTTTCCAAATTAAAGGGCCCATTAAGAGCATAACATTAATAACAATATGACATAAACATTACAGAGTGATTAAAGAAACATAAAACGTATAGAGCCTCAGAGTATTTCATCTTAATGGACAGATAGAGGGACTGACAGTCCACCTCGAGTCGAGCCTCAACTTATAACATCATTAGTGACCAACAGTCTATTTGCTTCGCGGCTCAGATGATAACATCCTTTCGGGACAAATAGAGGGACTGACAGTCCACCTAGCATCGAACCTCGATCAGCGATAACATCGTTAGTGACCGACAGTCCACTAACAATTTATCGAACCTCACAGAGGATAACATCCTTTCGGGACAAATAGAGGACTGACAGTCCACCTAGCATCGAACCTCGATCAGCGAATAACACTAACAATCTATCGACCCTCACAGAGGATAACATCCTTTTGGACTGACAGTATCGAGCCTCAGCAGATAACATCCTTTTGGAAATAAAAAGGACACCCGACTAATAATTTTGTACGCCAAACGCGAGTTTCGTCTACAAAATACTCATCAGTGAAGCTCGAATAAAACGTTGAAGTACGAAGTTGAAGCGCATTAAGGACCTAAAATCCGAAAGGTTTTGCCAAAAACAACTCTTGGGGTAGACAATCCACTAATATTTATGAAGAGTTTCAGCGGATCACATCCTTAGGTACTGGAAGACCCTAGTATTTGTGATGAGCTACAATGAATACTATCCTAAGGGACTTGTAGTCCACCTAGAATTTATATATTGAGCTTCAGCAGATAATATCCTTGAAGGGTGGAAATTCACTTAGCATTTATATCGGGCCTCAGATAATGTCATCTTACAAGACAAACAGAGGAACTTTCAGTTCACCTATCATCGAGCCTCAGCAGATTTCATCATTAGGGACACAGTCCACTAGTATTTAAATCGAGCCAATTGTAGTCAATAGAAAATGTTCCGTAATGACTACTGAGATCTACAGCTATACATGTAGTATTACACTATTTTTATCATATATTACAAATTATAACTTTAAATATTTTAAGATACTATTAACACCTATATAATATATAGTAATTGGAAATCCCTCAAAACACTCCTATCATCTAATTCATATTTTCGTCTATTTCGAATAAGTTGTCTATAAATAACTACTGTAACAAAACCACATATTGACATATCCTCGTTTCCTGACTGATCTTACTAAAACGTATATGGCTAATGTACTATCTGAAAATACTGATTTGTTCGATACATAAAAAAAAAATAAATAAATTACAAATGGCTCGGTACCTTGATGTTAATTTTCTTTCAAAAATGCTCATCGCGGAATAGAAACAATGTCATAAGTATTAATAGAATAATAACTTATCCTTTCAAGATGAATAGTATCGAATGTACTTAAAAAACTGTTTAAAAAAGTCTAAAAAAAAAACCCGATTTTAAGGAGTCATCTTTCAATGCATACTAATCATTTTTTCCAGATGGATATTCAATTTCTATGGATGTTAGGTCTCAGCTTATTTATCTTGCAAAGCACTGGCGCGCAAAAATGTGTTTTCAATTTTGCGCAAAGCTGTAATTTTTTATATTCATGTCTACATGTCATTTGTATGCCCACACCACAAGCTCATGATGGTTAGGATGCGTGTCCTCTGCATCCTTGGTAAATTCTGTTATTATATTTTCTCAACAATTCACGACATATGATTTGGCTTCTATCGTGCGTCTATCGAAACTCTTCATATGCGTGTAATCAACCATCAGAGAGGAAAGTCACGGCTTGTATAACAAATGAAGACTCCATGAAACCCAAGCGAAAAATTTACCAAAGCGCAAGTATGTTTTCATGGTTGTAGAAATGTTTTAAATATTAAAAGTAGATCATGAAGAAATTCATTCGGAGCGCCTTTGGGTTTCCCTTTTCTCTTAGGGAGCTACCATTTGATTTTTATGGGGGGGCTAGGATGAAAAATTTCGTCCTGCATTATTTTTTAGTTGTAATCTCTGTCCTGCCTTTTTATTTTTCACTCTGATCGGTCCTGCCTCTTTTTTTAAAAGTTTATCCTGACTTTTTTTTACCTAAATTGTCATCCTGACTTTTATTTTTGCAAGTGTCTCATCCTGCCTTTTTTTTTACTCAAAACTCCTGTGCTGCCTATTTTTTTCAAATTTCATTCTAGCCCCTCTCTCCCCCCACCCCCCCCCCCCCCCCCCCCCCAAAAAAAAAAAATCAAATGGTAGCTCCCTTACGACATGATTAAAACAACGAACAAAAATGTTGGGGTAATAACACGGGCGTCACAGTTACTTTTATAGGGTTCGAAGCCCACGTAGCTTAAGCCCGAATCCATACCTCCCAAGCATGGAGCCCTGTCAGTGGAGCCAAAAACCCTATCACTTGAGCATGGAACTAAAACATTGCTTAAATGAGCCTGGAGCCCAACAATAAAATAAGAATGGAACCCAGAGCACATCGATAAAATTATGATGGAGCGTTGAACCCAAATCCGTGTTCTTTCCCTGGTGTGTAGCCGATTGATTAATATCCCACACTGACCTTTTAACCAGTTGAGTTAAATAAGACACACTTCGTTTATGCAGATGTTTTTTTATTGAAGCTGAAATAAAAAAAAATATCAAAGGAAAAATAAAAGAACAATGATTCTGAACCCATTTGTTGCTTCAATGACAAATATATGATTTTATAGAAAATTCGTAGCCCTTCCCAGTGTACATTCTATTTCAAAATCAGCAGTAAATCAATTTATCGATGATTTCACTTAAACAAGTTTTTAAATATAGCTATTAATTTTATAACAAGTACAAAAAAATGAAGTTTTCAAGTACTCCATTAAGGGAATGCCTGATTGAATGACTCAGCACGAGGTTTTTTTGGGTAATAAAGGAAATAAGACACTTTCCGTGACTTATAAGTGGTAACTCAACATGGACAAAAGTAATCAAAATGTTAAGAAACGAAGTTCACTGTTATAATGACTAGGTTTTCTTTAAAATCTTATCTGGAGTTACAATAAATTGAACTTGTTTTTCCATTAAATGAAATAATAACAAAAGACACCATTGCAGTAAATGAATGAAGTTCCCTAAGTATATCTGAGCTCTAGGCTGCATTCTAATTTTTAAATTATCGTTGGGCTCCAGGCTCCACAGTATTGGCTCCAGGTTCGACTAATAGGGTTCCGAACTCCAATGATAAGGCTACCGGCTTCACAGATAGGGTTCCAAGCTCTAGAAGTAGGGATCCATGCTCAAGAAAATTTGGCTCTGGGTTCAAAAGGAACTGTGAAGACTATGTTATTACCTAAGTATATGTACACAGTCACATATCTACTTTATTCGTTTCGTAGCTGTATTGATGTCATGGCACTTTGAGATTTTGTTAAAAACACCATCCGAAAAGGGGTAAAAGTCTTAAAGAAACACGTGTTTGAGCACTTGGAAATCGACATATTAAGGTCAAAGAATAAATGCAAAACGTGTTGATCTAACAAAATGGATTTGTAAGGAACAAATAAATGATTTAAGGAAATTCTCTGACTGACTTCTATGATAGCAATTGTACATGCAGTGTTCAATGCAAGTGTTTACCGATTTTAAGAAAAATCATTCAACAATACTAAAAAGAAGAGACGTGTTCCTGCCATTTTCTGTAATACACAATATCTTTGTTTATCTAACTTGCAATTTAGTACATGTGTATACAATTAGGTTTTTAAATATACAAAAGAAATTCAATGCCTTAAAACTTTTGGGGTTTCCCAAGTTTAAATGGCAGATATGACAGTATGTTTTCTTCCTGTTTACATGGAGTGTTAATGTTTTACCTTAATGCCATATTAGGATGTATTTAAAAGGGGTTTACCCAATAAGCAGATCACGGAAGTATTTAAATATAGCCAAGGATCAATTGCAATACATTGCACATTTTAGGTCATTTACGTAACTACTTTAAAACTTGATTCACAATCAGTTTACGTTCAATTGTAATCTTCCATTTAAGCTGTAAGCGTGGTTGTTCAAATTGCATATGAATTAGTATAGGAATACAAAGAAAATGCAAACACAAAATATTAATATTTTTAATAAATTCAGTGTATAAATTTTATAGCACAATAAGTGCAGCACCGTTTTTCAATTTGACAGATTCGAGGACATTTTACTGTAACAATGGAAACTATAACAGACTGTGATATGGAGGAGGACGATAGAATCACAATGCTGGAGCCGAAATTCAGGTCCATTTCTCTCCAGGCTTTACGCCCGACTGCCCGTCGTCAAATAGCAATGCACTTGGATAAAGAGTTAACCGCTATTAATGTAGATAATGGAATGCTTTGTGATTGGAGAGGACTAGCTGAACTGGTGGGATTCAGCAATCTTGAAATATCAAAAATGGAAAGATCAGGGAAACCGACTGAAGAACTTCTTTATGAATGGGAAACAAATTCAAATTGGGATTCTACTTTGGGACACTTGTGGTCTTGTTTACACAAATTAGATAGGAAAGACGTTTTATCTGATAGCAAATCGTATATAGGTAAGAGGCGAATATCATATATAACGTGTCTCAGTCTTTCTATATTCTGAAACACGTTACGATAATGAAAAACTCAATACACTAGGAGACAAACACAAGCGATAAACTATTATGTACTTTACAACAGAATACCTGGTACGATTTACAGATAAAACGGTACAAGTATTACAAATACAACTGTTAACTGTATCTCGTGGAACATTTGAATTTTCCAGGCGTAATTTTTCTTCTTTTTTTTACATAACAAGCGATGGTTAAAAAGTATTGGCCGATTCTTTATGGAGTTTGAATTACAAAAGCCTCTTGGCGCTTTCGTCATTTCTATCACGTAATATTATTCTGAAAAATTTCATTCGGCACGTTCAAATTCATCCATTCATAATGTTTGAACAAATAAATAAATAAATAAAGAGCATACAATTACCAAATCTATTTTTCTTTAATGTTGCCATGGAGACATGATGATCTAAAATAGAAAACAAACTGTCAATAATCCGATTTGTTAATCTTCGAATATAAACACAAGTCAATATTTCATAATATAATTGGGTTTTGGAAAAACCTATCAACACCATTTCATTTTTGAATGCCTCACTTAAATTTTTTTATTACTCAATTCTTCCTACAATGTTATAAATTTAAAAAGGAAAAACTTCAAAATTACACTAAATACAAAATGTATACATGTTTATTTTGCAGAACGAGATGCACAAACTTTTATCGACCAACAAGAAAGACTGAAAAACGATTATTGTCCATTACAAGAACCCACCAGTAAGTTTTTATTACCTCCCTTATATCAGTTGTCATTTCGTTTAAGTGAAATGTTTTCGTGACGATATAACAACATTGTGATATTGAGTATATATATATGCTGGTTAACTGACCCAGTGAATCATTCATAGGCCAAATTTGAATTTTATGGCACTAATGATATCCATAAACAGTTGAATATATGCCTCAACATTTCTTTATGTTAAATATATAGACAATAATAGTGCATTGACTTGACATATCAACGATATAAGGATGAGGCTTAGAAACAGGGAAATGCGAGGCTCTGCCGAGCTTTTTCCCCGTTTCGGGCCGAATCCTTATATCGTTGATATGTCAAGTCAATGCACTATTATTGTCTTAAACTGCAATCTAAAAAAAAAACATTTTCATTTGTTGTTTAATGTGTTAATGTTATTATTTGATTTAAATATTGGGAAACTTCCCCCTTTTATAAAAAGGCCTCATATCATGCAGGCGGGGAAATATACATAACAATGAAATGTACATTGCCTGTTGAAACCCGCAGTCGATGGTGAACGAATTTGTTTGAGAATGAACTAAAATATCAACAATAAGCATAAAACCTAATGATTTATAGTTTGCAAACCAAAAGTATTAACAAGTGAAATATGTTTTTTTTCTAAAAATTGCAAAAGAAATAAGTTTGAGTCGTTGCATACATTGGAAACAAGAACAGGTTGAATAGGTCGTATGAATAATTAATTATAATTTCGGCAATTTCTATTTAAATATTCATGAGGAAAAGTGATATCAGGTCAGTGACTGTATATGACATAGAAATATACGGTCAACGCATTTTGACTGCTCAAATAGAACGAGTGCAGTATAAATATACATATCTGGGGTTTTGCTTTTTCTTTTGTGTTTATTTTTTTTTCTATTCTATATTTTGTCATTATATATCATTAAGAATTAATAATAATCATTGTAATAAATTATTTGTAATTATACTGCTCTCTAAGTGCGTCCTTGATTGACAATAAAAATATTGTATTGTATTGTATATACATATATAAGTTAATCAGACATTTCTCCTTGCAAATGATAATACATCAAACAGACATCACTCAGCATTGTTATTCTTTATCTTTATTTTTCGTAAATGTAAAGATATTTTCAGATGTTTTTTTTTTTGTTTTTTTTTTTTTTGGGGGGGGGGGGGTTTATTATGCAACCATAGGTATCATCAACATTTTGTTCGTCGCGGTTAATTTCAGATACATGTAAAGAAATACTAAACCCGTGTTTCACATTTTTCATGTATACAATATAATACTGATACATTGTACTATGAGTTTATCTTATTAATTGACTGTAATTTTTATGAATTTATATTTTAGTATCTTCAACAACCGTTCCACCTAACATAGGAGACCATTTTTGTGATGAAACAAAATTCCTGACAATCCATGATATTGCAAATCCAGGTACTTCTTAAGTTTTTATACGTCACCAGTTATAGTACGATTACAATCAAGAATTGTTGCGAAAGAAACTAAACCTTTCCCCATAATGAGTTCCTCTTTATCAAGCCATTTAGATGTTTCCAAGTTCACCTGTCCCTTTACAATAGCTATTGTTCTCTGAGGAGTTTATTCATTGGGACCTTTAAATTTCTCCTTGAAAAAGCAACCATTCATTAGTTAATTTAGCTGGACAAAAAAATATAACTCTTAGTGATGAAAATGCATGTTTTTATAAAGATTAGACCGTTGGTTTTTCCGTTTGAATGGTTTTACACTAGTAATTTTTTGGGTCCCTTTATAGCTTGCTGTTCGGTGTGAGCCAATGCTCCGTGTTGAAGGCCGTACCTTGACCTATAATGGTTTACTTTTATAAATTGTAACTTGGATGGAGAGTTGTCTCATTGGCACTCATACCACATCTTCTTATATCTATTGGATGGAGAGTTGTCTCATTGGCACTCATACCACATCTTCCTATATCTATTGGATGGAGAGTTGTCTCATTGGCACTCATACCACATCTTCCTATATCTATTGGATGGATAGTTGTCTCATTGGCACTCATACCACATCTTCCTATATCTATTGGATGGAGAGTTGTCTCATTGGCACTCATACCACATCTTCCTATATCTATTGGATGGAGAGTTGTCTCATTGGCACTCATACCACATCTTCCTATATCTATTGGATGGAGAGTTGTCTCATTGGCACTCATACCACATCTTCCTATATCTATGTACCAATACTGCATAAGGACACATTTTGTGGACGTATTGTGATAAACGAATAGATTGAAGGAGAACTAATATATATGTAAAGATGGTAACGCCCGTCATAACCTTTCTTTGCCAGTACATTATATAATGAATAAGCAACAACTTGTTTACAAATGTCTATAAGGGAATAATTATCTTTTTTTTTCTTCAGATAATCCTGTTATATATGACGCTTTTATTTGTTACAACCCAAATGCAGAGGGCAAGGACTCTTACTTTGTACAACAATGTATTAAACAGCTTGAACACAAACATGGTTTGCAACTTTGTATTCCCATTAGAGATTGTCTTGCTGGAGGGGCAAAATACATGATGGATGCTGAATTGATCAAAGCAAGGTAATTGAGGTTTATACATTGATGTTTTGTAATAAAATGTTAGACAATGTTTATTCTGAGTGAGGGAACCAAATGCATTTTAAATGCAATTTATAATATGCGTAGATATTTAAGAATAAACATTTACGTTCCCATTTTTTGTCCTTTTTGCATATATTCAAACGTACTACATTCTTCTATTACATGCACCTCTCACTCATTAAATATTGCCGTTAATCATTTATTGGTTCAGCGGTTTGAACTTTGTATTTGTAAACCATTTACTTAGTTTTTAATGAATCTTCTCCTCTTGTATGTTCTTGGACATTGTTAACCTTCTATCTTGTTTTAAGTTTCTTCCAAGTAAATTTAGAGGTTCCCGATTGCATAATAAGGACTTTGCCATATCTGAAAGCGGTTGTACAAATGTATTTCCGCAACTTCTTATAATCGACACACTGGATTTCAATAACTCATTTCCAATAGCTTCAATACCGAATGGAATTGTCAATATTTTTTTCTTTTTATGACATAATTATTGTTAGCGTTTTACAAAGCAGAACATGAACTGGAGGGCAGTTTGAATGTGGGAGGTCTGCTTTAGATTTTTGTTTAATATAAAAGTTTATCATTGTGTCAAACTTTTTAAATAAAGTCATAAATTTATGAACATTAACCTTTATCGCTATATCAAATGTCTTCCCAGCTTACATTAGTCAAGTTCTCTACTTTGTCATCCTTCAATCAATGATGTTGGATTTTCAGTATTAAAACCTTTTACATAATACAAAAACAGGATAACACATATTACCAAAAATATTGGACAACACGCAACACCTTCAAAAATATAGACGAAAATATCGAAAAAATTGTTCAAGATAGTCTGATTTTGTACAGGCACACAATGGGTTGGTGATGAACCAGTTTTACGTGCTCGCAATCCTTCTCATTGGCCTTTCTAAATATATGTCGTAAAACCAATAAAAATTCATTCTGCATCTTTTATTACCATTAACTTGAACAAGAAAATAAAAGACGGTATATAATTTGGAAAGTAACAACATCTTAATTTTAAAAAAACTTATTTGCATGTAAATTCCCTGAAAATATTGTTTGAAAAAAATACCGCCACGTTATTAAAATTAATTTTCAGATCTACTCTCTTATTATTTTTATAACTGTGTGATATCATGGTCAACATCATTACATGTAATGAACATTTTTAAAAGCTGATACTGACAGATATCTCTATGATAAATTAGGTTGCTGCATAAGTAATCATAATTATGTTGTCTTTTTTTTTTTGCAGATGTAGACGAATGGTCATAGTAATAAGCCACGAGTTTCTTCTCAGCCAAGATTGCGATTTCCAAGTTAAATTTGCACAATCATTAGCGCCAGGTAATTTCATTCAAATATGCAATATAACGTTTCTAAGAAATATAATCTGCGAAAAACTGTTATAATCATATAAAAAATATTTTACTCAAAGAAGATGAAAACTAAGTAACTCTTTCACCAAGTTATGAACATGTATTTCCCATGAGGGTAGGCCGTGTTAGGGACAAATGCATCGTAAACAGCGACAAAAAGAGAGAAGGAAAAACCAAGGCTGCAATCAGCAATCAAAAGTCAAATTTCATCATTTCAAAAAAAGTAAAATGACAAAATGACAAAACAGCAATAGTAAACCACTACACAGAAAGCTAAAAAATAAAGAAAATGAAAGTTTTGAGACAATCTAAAGATTAAGCGCTAACTTATACTACTGGAATACCGATTTAACAATACATACCTTAGGAATCTTTCAAACCAATTCCGGTATAAAGTTATAGTGACAGCTTTGACCGGAGTTTTTAAGAAATACACTTTATATAATAATTCATCTACATGTACAATAAATTTTACTAATAATTTAATTTTGGATGCACGTTTTCTGATTGGCTGAGTGTTTTTTGTCTATCAGCTCATAGACATAATTTTCTCATTGGACCGTGACGTCATCAACGTTTTTCATTATTTACTATTTAAAATGGAATTTAGATTTAAATTATAAGGAATGACTGTAATTTTTTCTCTGTCTATTCGAAATAGCCCCAAAAATGTGGTGCACACTGAATAAACCGCGTAAATGACTGAAAATAATTGTGTCTGTCAGACTTTTACATTCATTGTCTCCTTTTTTCTACATTTTAAGGAGCACGAAAGAAAAGATTGATTCCTGTTTTATTGGAAGACAAACTTAAAATACCAGATATTTTAAGACATGTTACTATTTGTGACTATACTAAACCTGATTTAATGGAATGGTTTTGGGACCGCTTAGCCTCTTCAATCAGGGCTCCTTTAGATCCTGAACAGGAATTGAGTTTTGTTCCTAAAAACAGTCATGAACGAAAAGAGTTATCAAATTCGTCATCAATGGAGAAATTTAACAGGTCATCGGAACAAGGAAAGAACAATTCACGAATGCCACAAAGTAATAGTTCACCAGAGTTGAAAAAGAGTACCCCTGAACGGATCGAAAAAAGAACACATTCTTGGACTATCCTGTCGTCAGGTAGATCATCGAGCGAGTCGAGCTCAAGTAGATTTTCTATGATATCAGCCGAGTCCCTACCCGACGATATGTCAGTCTGCATGTTGAATGACAATCAAAACTGTATGGACATTAATGGTTCATCACCAAAAAGAAAATTAGAAATATCATCATCGTACGAATCATTTAATAAAATTTTACCTAACTGTCAAAATATACAACAACGACCAGAGCAAAAGTCTAAAGCGATGAAATTTCTTTGCCGTATACAAAACGCACTCAGTAAAAGCAAATGAGACAAACATTTATGCCACACGTATACGTACATATGACCGAAATGAATTTTTATTAATAATTGAATATTTCAGCAAGAATGGTTTTAATGTTTACATTAATAATTGTGTGTGTGTGTATGGTTAAGGGCATACGATACAGTTACAGGGGAGGTAATGACGTTGCTAACGTAAATTGTTATTTTCGCGACGTCAAACTGTGACTTATCGGGAAAAGATGCAGTTTTCGACTGATTTTTATCATTCAATCTGATTTAACTTGAAAACGAGTTCATGGACCCCTCTTTTTTTAAAATGACATTTGGTTTGATTACGAATGAAGATTATGTTTACCAATTTTCATGAAAAAGTCAATACTGCAATTTCTTTTAAATTTGATAAATATACAGCAAAAAATGACGTTTTTTTTTCTGCAATCATGATCATTTGATTAATATGAGTTATTTGTAAAAATAAAATGTACAAATTTATAGAACATTTATATAAAACAGAAATTACAAATAATTTAACAAAAAACAGCTTGTGTTTATCTTTTAAAACAAAAAAGTTATGTATTTCTATCGAAAAGAAAAGAACGTCCACAAATCCGAATTTTGAGGAAATATCTGAAATTTCAACCTCAATTTACTCAAAAAGTAGCACATGATGGTATATTTTTTATTACATATTTGATTTAATCAGGTAAAAAATAGCCTATATGCAAATTTTCATCAAAATTTCATTATGGGATCAAAACTGTATCGTATGCCCTTAAGAAAGGATGATTTTAACGTGTACACACATTAATGATAATGTGTGTTGTTAAGAAATCATGATTTTAGTTTGTTTATAATGACTGTTTTATGTGGTTAAGAAGCATGGTTTTACTTTGTACATACATGATTACGTGTGTGGTTAAAAATAAAGCATGGTTTTACTGTGTACATTAATAATTGTATGTGTAGTTAAGAAAGAAAGGTTATAGTATGATTGCTTGTGTGGTAATAAGAGGCATGGTTTTAGATTGTACATTAATGATTGTGTGTGTCGTTAAGAAAGCATGGTTTTAGTTTATACATTAATGATTGAAGAAAACTGTTGTGTTTGTTATTAAAAAAAAACATGATTTAAGTTTGTACATTTATGATTGTGTGTCTCGTTAAGAAGTATGGTCCTACTGTGTACATTAATGATTGTGTGTGTGGTTAAGAAAGCATGATTTTAGTTTGTACATTAATGATTGTGTATGTGGTTAAGAGAGCATGGTTGTCGTATTTATATTAATGAATTATCTGTGTTCTTTAGATCTGCAGATCTAGAGTTTGTTTAACATGTTAAAAATAAAAATATTACGAATAATATTATATCGTTGACTGAATTTATTAACAATTTAACAACAGAACAACGGAAACAAATAAACCTTTCATTTATATTAGCCACTGTGTTATGCATTAAGTTTAACCTTAGATGTATAAACACATACATCTATGTTTTAACCACGAAAACTTATGTGTTTAAATCTCATTAATTTGTTTATTTTATTCTTTTTACTTTTTATTCATTTTTTTCATTCAACTTTGTGTATGGTCTTTTCTATTTTATTCCTTAAATTATCTTTTGTTTTGTTTTTATCACCGTTATATTTTTCTCTGACTGTGAGGGAAGGTCTAATCTTTCATTTAATTGACGTGTAATTCCGTGACATTTCAGCTTTGATTATTATTACATTTAACGTGCCCGAAAGATCAATCTTCAAATTGATCACAAAGCCAAAATCATAAAGATTGGATAATTTCATGATCGGGTAAAAAAAAATCATCAGCAAATTACTGCATGGTGCCTTATTGCTATTAAATAAATTAATGAGCCTTGCTATTATTATTCGTCATTTATCGTACGAATCATTAGCTGCGGAACCGTAGCTCTTAGGTCCTTATGTTATTTTTTGACTATTTGCGGACCATAGACCGCAAATAGTAAAAAAATAACATAAGGAACTAAGAGCTACGGTTCCGCAGCTAACGAATCATTGGTACCAGATTTACAAAAACATCATGTATACAAGGTTTTTATGTAAATAATCTGTACCTGCTTAGAAACCACCATTACCGTTTAAATTTATTTTTAAATTAACATATTCTTCAAGATATAGTAAGTATCAACATTTGATTTTTGCGGTTTATACAATAACAGAATCTTTTAACATGACTCATGTGATGTGAAACTACGGTCATGATTAAAATGTAATAAATATATAAGAAGATTTATTACACATTTAGGGGTCTTTGCATAAAATATCTTACTATCAAAAACCCGTCCTCTTTCTTAGAGGGCGTATGACGTTTGCGCCGATTTGAAAAAAATTAGATCTCTCATTTGCGCCGATTCGATCCTTTCATTAGCACCGATTCTATATTTGCTTCTATTTGCATTTACATTTTAACACGGGTGAGTAAATACATGTACATGTACTATACCTAGAAGGTATATTAGTAAACTCTGGATATAAACGGTGCTCCCTTATGTTTAAGTTAATTTTGGTTCATATTGTTCGGGAACTTCGTTGTGACACGATGGACATATTGCACACTAAAACGAGCCGAGGAGTCAATTCTCTGATCATCGAAGGCCATACATATCGGCAGGTCAGTGTCCTGAAACATAATAACATAGCTTACCGATGTGAGCAGGGGACAACAGTTATATAGTGTATATAAAGTGCGAATCCAGTTAGTTCATTTTCACTGTTGTATGCGAGTATGTCTATTGTAGAATAACGGATGATGGGAAAACTGCGTTTGTTTTCTTTTTGAAAATACAAAATAATAGATTTGAATGTATATTTTAACAGAATTTCATTTTAATGTATAAAAACATGATTATCGTCCAAAAAGGTGTTATTTAAGCAGCAGAATCCATAATATTGATTACTGAATGCGTTCATTTTAACTATAGATGCGATGAATTATCACTGTAAGTGCAATCATTTCTGATGTGGAATTTTTGGAAGTGCGATGAATTTTCATTGTCGTTTTATATGATTATTCGACATACAACAACTAAAAATAGTTTTTAAATGACTTTAATATTGATGATATTTACAATTTGAAATGCAAGCTAGTCGTAGATGCTTACTTGAATATACTCGGGTATAACCACGTTCATTTCATGAATATTCAAATATTGTTAGTGAGTTTGCTATTAGCTTGTCATGGATCCGAAAATTTACTGGAGCAGAACATCCATGAATATAACGTTTTTCTACGACGAATTTTCTTTGTGAAAGAGCCAATCAACTATGCTCTATTTGTAGTTTAATCAAGTTTGAGTTACACATAGTGTTTGTTTCGCGATATTTACAAGTAATTATCAGACCTGTCTATTTAAAATAGTCACATGGTGTTCATGTAATATAAATGATATACAATGCTGCCAGGAGCAGTAAACTTTGTTTTCATAAGCATTGAATACTTAACTGAACAGTAAGTCAATAATGTCGGATCTGATTAGTCTTTGGTGTAAATACAAGAACGGTATATCTACCAACATTGCTTCGCGATGTAGCGATTAACGGCCGGAATCAACTGTACGGCGGTTATGTATACCCCGTGGTGTAGAACCATTTAAACATGTAACAATAAACTGTTTTCAATATTTCTTTGTATTCTCACAATTGTGTATTGGCTTATTTGTAACTCCGACTTGTAAGAAATTCAAGCATATTTAAGGTGACTCGACTGTTGCTCGAACTTTCTTTACTGTATAAGATTTATACACAATGGCATGATAAATATCAATTATCCAGTCATCCAAGCGTCAATTGTTTGTGCAAGATGGAAACGTTTCCACTCATTCAATCGTGAAATGAAGATCGTTTTGTAAATGCTCTTTGTTATCTCAAATACATCCATTAGAGCTATTTTCCTAACGCTTGTAGTTTAAATGTTTGGTTGGCTTGCTTGCTTTGTTTGTATAAACGTTTGCTCAATCTTAATTGCAATGCTTAGAGTACATTTACACAAGCAAGGCCAACCACACTTTTTAACTACAAGCATTAGGAAATTAGCTCTAATGACGTTTAATTTATTAGTATGCGATGTAGATTTAGACCGAAACAGAAACTTTGCTTTTCCGGTGACGTGGATTGGCTTAACTGTCCAAGATATATGTATTTAATGATGACGTGTCATAGGAAAGAATAAATTTTATCCTACATATTGATCAGGACAAATTATTCGAGAAAATAGAATTGACTATATTAGCAATAAATACCATGTTTAAGGAATTTATTGATATATTACCTCAGACTTTCACTCACTAAGTATGCATATATAATCAATCCTTCTGACTTCATAAATTTTTATTAGAGAGTTGGCTGAATTGAGACTTTATATAATGAAAATTAATTAATTTCCTTCTGTGAAAATGCATCGCATATACAATAGAAATGAATCGCCCAACAGTGAAAATGAAAGTCTAGTATCATTATTCGACAGTAAACATGAATCGCATAAAGAAAAACGGCATAGTGGAATTTGATTCAATATCAACAAGCTGAATAACAAAACCTGTTTTAAGTTAAACAGCCTTAATAATTGTGTTAAAAGGTACATTTTCTGCAAATGAAACTTAACTGCTACTTTTAAATCTTTTTGCACGCTCTGTTCGTGAACTATTCTTAATATTTATCTATTTGTGTATCAATTTTGCACCTGGATGGCTGTAGGCGCGATGAAAACCCGTCCGCATATCATACCTATATCATGAATTTATAAAAACAGTACACATATATTATTTCTTATTCTATTCAAAAATCTTGAATTTGTCGTCTGTTTATTTATCATTCTACATCAGAAATTCACCACGGATACAGTAAAAATGACATTTTAGGATTCGCACATTACATACACTGGTTATATACATGTTATGATTGACAATTCATATTATATGTACAATTGGCTAACGGAAGAGGTTTATAATGATAAATAAAAAATAACATTCACCTGTACACAATCGGCGCATAGGAAAGACAAAATCGTTCTTAGATTACGGCATCATCAAATGATACACATCGCCGAACTTTTTACATCGCGATGACCTTGAGGTCATCCCGATGTATTGCTATCGCCTAGATTTCCATTATGTAAATTAGTTTTGGGTTTGTAACCGATCTATAAACATGATAAATATGCGCACATAAACGAATGCAAAATAACATTCCTTATCGTTTGATATAAATACATCTCTTCAATGAATACTGATAAAAATATTTTTGTTTACAACATAAATTAATAATATGAAAATGTTTTGTAGTTAGATATATATATATATATAAGTAAAAAATCATTGATAATATCAATGCACACGTACCGAAAAATTGTGCTAAAGCATGCGGAAGAATATCTCAAAGAACGTTTTGAAGGACCGGTAACTCTGTAATTGTTTTTGCGGGAAAATATGAATGCCTACTCGTATCCAATCTTAGAAAAATCGAATTTTTACAGAAAAGTGTCCACCATGCACTTGCATTGCACTATTATTAGAATAGTAGAATAGAATGATATACAAATGGATGCAAATCATATATGTATGTAACTGTTATTTTAATATAATATATAACAACAAATCAGTGTATACTGATTTGTATCACTACAATATAATACATGTAGTTATTACGGTGAAGATGAATTTCCTGTCATTTATTCATCATCCACGCACGAACTTGTCTCAGAAAAAAATATATCTCTGTACATTAACCTCAGTTTCAGGTAAAGAGATATGTTGTTTTTTTTTTCTGAGACAAGTGCTTTTGACCATCCTCAAGAACTTGTGGTCATCCGATGTTCAGTACTTCAGTACTTTGATTTGTCATGCACACAACGTCGGTTTTTTTTCTGTTATTATTTGAATTATAATTTTATTTTGTCCCTTCGGCATTTTATGAGTCTATCTACTTTGAACATTTTCATTATTTATATTTTTCGCTTATTACAATATACCTCATTCATAAAAGATCATTACAAATCAAGAGAAAAAGGCAGAAGCAGTTTTATTTTAAAAATAAACCGATTGAATACACCAACGTCCGAGTTTAAGAGTTGTGGAAGGTTTGAGCGCTCACATACATGTGTAACTCCACCGCATTCTTTATATGGGCTGACCTTAGTTGCCTGTAATTTAGACAGTTTTCCTTGGTTGCTGCCTGTCATCTTTGTTTTTTTTATTTATTGTTTTAGCATAATTCTGGCGGTTTTCTCGTTTTGAACTGTTTCGTATTTTGTCATGACGGGGCCTTACAATAGCCTTGGATAGTGGTGTAACTGTTACAGGTCACCATAAGAACAAACTAAAATCAACTGTCAGGGATCTGATATATTCAGACATGTCAGATCGGCACGAAGCACAACAAAAACTTAACAAACAGACAAAAAAGTCCCAGGTACTGAAAGCTAGTTCAAAGCATATTTCAACTGATAAATAAACCATGTTTGACCAGACCAAAAACAATATCGTCTTGAGAAAAGCAGAAACTTGTACAATTCCAAAATGTAATTTTCGACAGTAATTGGTGTTGAAAACTGTATTATTTGATGAGTATTTCCTGGTTCATCGTTTGTAAGTGGAAATTCGAACTACCCGTGGTCTTCTATGAGAAAAAACAAATTTCTATTATCCACGTAAAATGAAAGGATTTTTTTTAAAATCCGGTTTAGCAAAAAATGATATGTCTAAAGTAAGAGTTACATTTACCATATAGTCAGAAGATTTCCTGAGGCATGTTTTGCAAGTGCCAGTTTCTATTTAATCATATTAGTATTTTATTGCATACAGATTTTATTCTGATATTGTCAATCTCCAAATAAGATCATACTCAGGATGTTGATATGCGATTTATAATTACTTTTAATTACAACTGGAAAAACCATATCTGAAGACAAGAAGGATACGACCAAGTAACCTTTTCACTTTTAAAAGTAATAAAAACTATTTTTCTGATATATGTGTGCAACTGTAGACATGACTATTTTTGTCTGTATAGATTTGCATTGTTTTGCTTTCATATGACCAAAAAATTTGTTCCGTAATTTTTTTTAATCGGAAACTTATGATACCATTAAACATTCATGCTTCTAAGTATTAATGTAGACATATCAAATGTTTGATTTGTCGCCCGTCGGTTGGGTTGATGTAAAGGAAACAACACAAAGTCATATATATATATGTAATAGCTTGTTTGTATCATAGATGTATAGACAATTATATATCTCTGTTTGTATCAACATATTTAAAATTTTCTTGATCTTTTACACATTGATATTTAACCTCTTTTAAGTTGAGTGTTCTCCAACGTGTTGATTCTCGTCTTTTGGTGTCAAGCTCGGGCTGATGGAAGCTAGTTCACGGAAATCATATCACGTTCTCACATATATAGTTCCAATGGGTTGGCCTATATATAGGTGCGTGATCGGTTTCAATGTGCGATTTACTTATAGAAGAAATTGTTTACTACAAATGTACGTTTATTAACAGGAGTCTTACATAATATTGAATTGAGGGGCCAAATAAAGGTGACCGGTACATCTCCAACTGTCCTTGTTCTATGTACGTAACGAATATAAATCCAACACGGTACACATGTTTTATTAAATATCTTTTTTAACTTGTCTTTAAACTCGACTTGATGCATTATGTGAACTTTCTGTGGAATAATGTTAAAATGGATTTTAAAATGTTTACCGAGGCGACTCTCATAAGGGATCATTAGGTAGGAGATTATGTCCGTAACATTTCAATCCCAATATTTATTTTTCTTTACATTAGACACGGTTACAAGTCACAACAACAAATACATTTTTCTTTTAAATTGAAAAAAATACAGTTTAAGGCATTCCATGCAGATGTGACCTGAATCAATTAACAATAGCCAGCTAAACAGAGTAAAGTTAAAAAAAAGGTTAGGTAAGAGTGTTAAAGCTAAAATATATCAAAGATACTAAGCTTATGTATAGTTTGTTTCGCAGATGCACGTTTTGTCTACATATCCCAAGTGGCACACGAATCAAACCAGTTATCTAAGAGGGTGGTAATGCCCTTTACCGTCAGGCGTCAAACGGTCATTTTCGGCTACCGTTAGCGTCAAATTGGTTAAAATTCTATCGTGATTCGTCAAAATATCCTTATCGTGATTCGTCAGAGGTCTCAAATAATTAACCGTTACCGTTATTTTTGGAAAAATTTAACTTGATTCGTCAAAATCAGTCGATTTTTTTATCGTCATAAAGAAAGTGTACATTTTATCGTCATGCACCAAAAATTACCGTTAACGTCATTTGGCCAGATTTTTTTTACCGTTATTCGTCATGAAGATACCCCCATTACAACCCTCATCTAATAAAAAAGGGAACAGCATTGAAAACTAAATAGAAATCCTAAAATTTATTCCCAATACGGCTTAGACCATTAAATTATTTTTTTGAATAAACGATCGTTTGTTCAGCATTCAAATTAAATTAAAAATTTGCAATCTGAAAAGAATTGAAAATCATGTTTCGAGTGGACGAAAGGCATTAAAAAGTAAATAATTGTAAATTGCCTATAAAATTATTCACCAATAATATAATATCCCCACGTCGTACCTAACATGTTGTTACGTTGTACGATGTCAACATAAAAATGATGTTCCTAATCCGTCATTCATGCTTGATTTCACTTAACGTTAACCTGCGTACAGTGACTGGAAATATTCATTTTAAATTTATACAAAATGGCTTCTTCAATAATAGTGAAATAGGAATGATGTTTTATAAGATTAACTGATTAAAAGTTTCTGTAAGTATATGTCTTAAATTCAACTAATTAATTTATATTAAGTGAAAATAATTATACATCTTTATGTTTTGACGTCATGTTATCATCATGTGATTACTCATGGGACAACTACCGCTGAAAACTTGAAATTCAATTAAATAAACTTGATATTTTGAAAGTATGATCGCTTTGTTGGCCTTTTTTGTTTGAATGTCTTTTTCGTACTCAGCAATGAGCTTGTAATAGACAGGAAAAATTTCGTAAAGTCATATACATTTTATTTCTGTACAGGTAACAGTTTTATTAACCAATTGTTGTAGTAAAAGGTTGCAATGAATTGTAAAAATGTTCATATAATTCAAAGGAGAGGATATATTTACATTATGGGAGGCGGAACGCGATAGAACAGAGCGGAGAAGTAATGAATTTCTCCCTTTTTTCACCCGTTTTGTTGCCGAAATTTTTTGAAAAGCATTAAGACAAACAATGTTTCTTATTATTGCTACTTCTATATTCTTTTCATCTATTTTTTTCAAATATCTTTCACTGTCTTTTCTCTAAATATTTTATTTTATTTTATAGATTGGGGCCTTCTATCATGCTTTACAAATAACCCAATAATAATTTATTTCTGATGAAATGAAAAGAAATATACACCAGAATTCATTCTGTGGGATATTGTGCTTACTAACCAGTGTGTTAATATTAAACTATATCTGTAATTAGTAGAAGTTGTCCACTGATCTTAAATGGGATAAATACCGTTGTCACGCCTTCTCAATTAAGTCTCCTTTTACATTTGTTTTATTGATTCAAAACTGATTACACACATATATGGGTCAAATTAAGATATATATATATAAATGATGTGTAATATCATGTTTGTAAAAAAAAGACATGATTATATTTACACAATCACTTGGAAATTCTTTACGGATGTCCACTTGTCGTGATTTGAATATAATGAAGTAATTTTATTAAACTGACATGCGAAATGACGGACATACTTTTAACTACATGTTTCATCTGTAGGCGATATTAATCATAATTCCAATTGATTTGAATTCAATATAACTACCCGAACAAATAACACTTTGGGTGTCATCTTAAAGAGGCAGTAGCTGCCAAATCTATTTCCGTCGATTACTCAGACTCTCTTTTAATTTTATTCATAACATACTAAAATATTTACCAGAATTCTAAAAGTTCCATGGGAAACAGTAATCAATGCAACGAATCATAACAACAAACCGTAAAACTGACCTATTTCTTGAGACTCAATTCAAATCCCGATGGATACGATCAGGCATTTGTCTCTGAAATTTTTTTCCTATATACTTTTAGAAATATTTTCTGAGACAAGTGCCTGTGTTAATGAGCGTGTAAGGAAGGAAGTCAAATTTGTATTTCAATACTTCTTCTCCTTATTAAAATTTCTTGAGACGTCTGGAGTTCCGTTTCTACATTTCAAGTCCAAACGGGTAGGTGAAGTGATTCAATGGAATATGTGTCTTGTGTTTTAATTTCAAAATTCTCCTTTTGACGGACGGTCCATGGTGTATCAGTTTGCATTTTGAGCGTATTTTAGATATGAACGCAATATTAATAACCGTTGCGATGACACCAGAAGACTGCCGATGGTCATGTGACCCGATATCAACATAAATATAGACATTAATTAACAGAAAAGCACGCGGTCTACTTGATTTAATGTCGAAGATTAAAAAATATATAAATCATCATTTTACCTATATAAGTATAGTATTTTGTGGGCCAAGTCAGTCAGCAAAATGGTTCTTCCTGGTGGCTCCCTTGTTTCACTTTAAAATTTTAAGATCCTTTCTTTTTCATAACTGACCAAGCTTAGCATATGTGCAACCAAGGGTAAAATCAAAGATTGCATGCAAACGAATCCAAATGAGACCGAAGTATTGTCTTGCAAGACAATATAATAACAGAGATGTTTATCAGCTTATTTTTACAAACTAAACTGGCTGCTAATAGCGAATTGTTATTTCAATGTTCCACTTTTACTAATGATAGATACATACTTTATTGTTTTTATCTAAATCGTATCTAACGCCCTATTAAAGAATGCAGGATATTATGTAAGGTAGATAACAGAAGCCTTCCTTGATCGCACGATATCGATTATTCGTTGATCGGAAAATCTCAATTCTTCTCCGATCTGACACTGGATATTTGTTCAAATAAAGTATTGTTATAATCAGCTGTTGGAACGCGGAAGGTTTATTATGAATGCTTTTGTAATTCATTATATATAGCTATTATATTCTATTCTAATACACGACATAAGTATATCTTAATTATGTATATGACCAAGACCTGCACAAACGCCTGCTTATTTTCAGGAGACAAAAACAGTTTTTTTGGTTGTATTCACAAGTGGCCTCCGGTTAGATCCTGACGAAGCAAAATTCTGAACTAGTTTTTTTTTTCTACGATGCTCCAGGTAAAGGTGTACACTCTTTAACAACAATTTCCTTTCATTCTATCGTGTTTACCTTGCACTTTCTGTAAAGGTTACAATGTTATTTCCTTATGTACAGGAACAAAACGTGTATTTTATTCTCTCGATTCACCAATCATTTTTTCCTATTTTTGAAAAGTAACCACAGGAGGATAATAATTATGACTTTTGATTCGACTTTTTATTTAATTAATTCATCGATTTCTAACACAATGATGTACATGCAAATCATGCATACAACAATTAATACCTGTAGAATGATTCGACAAATCTCCGGCCTCACTTCAACAGGTGAAATGAAAGGTTATTGAAAAGGCAGATATGTATAGATATGCTAACTACAATTATATAAAAAATAATTGTGGCGAAATGACCTACATTTTTTTTAATGTTTAAAGGTTATCATTTTTACTATAGTTATTTGTAGAAACCAATGTTCCTGATAGGCATATGCTGTGCCAACTTTTACGCTATTAAACGCGTATCCGAAGAATAGATTAATAATTAGGTCACACAAACCTTTGGTTATTTGTTTCCCATTTGTTCTCTTATATAGACATCTGTTGAAAGACATACTTGTTGCGAAATGACGTATGTATTCAAAAAAGTCAAAAGGCGTTCCCTTGATGATTATTATGAAAAAGGAAACGACATATTGAGTTTGTTACTATCTAAAACTTGTCCGATCATTTTTCCAAAAGAAAGGGAGGATGAAAAAAACTATATTTGGTAAGATATTTTAGATATAGGCAACATTACTTTATCGATGTTCAAATCTCATAATTGGGGTAAGAAGAAGAACAATCATTTGTGATTTAGTCAAGTTCAAATACAGAGCTTTCTATTGTGGTTTTTAATGTTTCAAGTTTTAAACATAGCGGCTTTGTATAATGTAGATGTAAACAGAGATAGGTTATTCCTTCACATCACGGTATTGACCAACAGCTACGATAGAACAATTCCACCAACATCCGATTTTTGCCATGTGCATGGTATTTGTTATGCAGGCGGTAAGGGGGTCGGGCACTATGACATTATCTACGGGTCATCATTTTGTCGTCAAATTTGCTAGAAGTAGAGAAAGGGATAGATTGGCTTAATAAGCTTTGGAGTAACGTTGTACTCTCTTTATTCCGCAATACCTCAAATACGAAAATGGTTTAAAAAGTTAATTGTAGATCAGTATATATGTTATAGTAAATTGGACAAAATAAATTCCGACGAAATACATAATCTTTGAATTTTTACACTGTCTTTGACATCTGTGTAGGAGTACTAAAAGATTGATTGAGTTGAGTTTTCCATAATTTGTTGGCAATATTTGACATCTTGACAGATAATATTTTGTCTGTTTTAAAGATAGATTGAACCGGGAAGACATTTCTCTAAATACAAACATTCTTTATTAATAATAAAGCTGAGTTACATATTCTCCTAGTTATACATCAGTTATTTGTACATATCCAATCAATTACTTGATTTGGAACATACGAGACAGTGGAGATTAACCTTTACTGTTCAAGGACTTTCTTTGTTCTGGTAAATTAATGCAAAAATATGCAGCGATGAAATCAATTAAAATAGTAATTAAATTAGATTGCACTTGTTACTTTATAATTTTCAATTTTGTCGTAATGTAAATTTACTTTATCTTTTCATGATTATAGAGACATTTAACAAGTCCTTATTTGTCCATCTTTTCAGTAAAACTTTAGTTACTTGATATGAAGAGGCGGGAGTTTTGTCCATCTTTTCAGTAAAGCTTTAGTTACTTGATATGAAGAGGCGGGATTTGATTTCCCTCAAAGTGGGTTAAACCCTGTCACATTTTTCAAATACAAGGAAAGAGTTAATTGCTCACTAAGTAAGTTTAACCTGTCACATGATTTGGATGCATGTTCCCGTTAAGGGCATGAAAAAGAATATGTTTGTTTGCCCTAACCCTACCTACCCAGAAAATATCTGCCTTCTCAAAATCTTTTATTGTCCTGATGTGATTTTATTGTCCTGATGTGAAAAAAGTTTTATTTTTAATCAGATAGACATGAAGACAAAAAAACATCTGACACTTCAATTTCTCTTTGCCGAAAAAAAGAAGAAAATGCCTAGCTATGAAACCCACTGTGGGGCCTAATTGTCCTTTTTTATTTAATAAAGAATTTGATGTTCTGGTTAAAATCAATGCATATTTATCTTTGATAAATGTATTCATATGACCACCAGACATCACCAAAAACCCAAAACATATCTAGGTAATAAGGTGATAGAGGTCAACATATACGTTTCAAATGGGATAGAGGTCATAATATGTTAAAAAGTTGATAGAGTTCAACAAACGTTCTGCAGGTGATAGATAGTTATACGCTGTCAAATTGAGATTAGGAACTTGATGTATGAAATACACTCATGTTAAAAAGTATCACAGATAGTATTTGATTTGCATCTTTGTAATGCACCATTAGATTGATGGAGTGCTATTTGTGTGACATCCAGTGGCAAGTATTTCATGATTATTTAGACGAATACAAGGTAGATTCTGCAAAGTTAGGATTAAGACTGTCATACAAAATGTATATCAAATAGCTGATGTTGAATATGGACAGATATTTTGTCTTCAGCAGGCCAGATACGGACCTCTGGTCATATCTTTATAGTTATTTTAACAAAAAAGTTTTGCGAAAAATATAACAACGTTTCAATTTTCTCATTTTTTCTACAGAATTATTCTTTGAATTAACATAATTATTATAATTTCTGCTCTTATAAATGTAAGAGCTATCTTTTTGTTCCTTTCATTTCATTTTTCCGTTAGTGATGCAATTTAGCAATTTAAAAACGCATGAACATAACTAATGTTTCTTTTTTTATATATAAATAAGAGGAAACATAGATTGGATTTTCTTACATTAATTTTGTTCTTTCTGTTTTCAGTGAGAGAAGGATAAGTCTATAATTTTTCAAGCCATATATATTGTGACGTAATGGGCGAAGGAGTGAACCTTTCAGAAGAATATAATGACCTACCAATAAGAATACTTAGCCCTTCAACTAGACGGTTGATGTCAATTCATCTAGATCCACCAGCAGTTATACCGTCTTCACATGGTGTTCTAGGTGACATGTCTGGACTGGCAGAACTAGCTGGGTTTGAGTTTTGTCATATTCGATATTTCGAAACTAAGTATAGCAGAACGTTTGCCTGTTTAGAGGAATGGGGATTGCGGCATTCGGGAACCATCGGGAATCTACTAAAGAATTTGGTTATCATGGAACGATTTGACTGTCTCTCTGAAATTAGAGAATCCGTATGTAAGTACCATATTAGGCATAGTGTGTATAGTACGGAAACCGGTACGTGCTATGAAATTGTTTTTTTATTCTAACTCGTTATAACGACTTAGTAAATCGTTATAACAACTTAGCTAACTTTTTATAACGACTTAGTTACTCGTTTTAACGACTAAGTTAACTCGTTATAACGGTGCGGGAATTTCTCGCTGCATTGAAGACCTGTTGGTGACCTTCTGCTGTTGTCTGTTCTATGGTCGGGTTGTTGTCTCTTTGACACATTCCCCATTTCCATTCTCAATTTTATTATCGTTATAACGACTTTGCTAATTCGTTATAACGACTGAGCTTCCGTAGTTTAGTACAGTATCATAGCATATTGTATTAAAAATATATCAATATATATAACAACGGCCTCTAATGTTACCTTCTGACAATCCATAGCCAAATTAAGCAAACCTTTTATAAAGATTTAAAACTTTGATAACCTGCCCATTTTGATATGTTGAAGTATTAAAACACAATCTCGTCTTATCTTTCTATCACAATTTCATATATATATATTAATTATTGTTATTATTACTTTTTGTTGCTTTATACATTTTTTAAGAACCATTCATCTTGTTAAACATTGAAAGGGACTTTATTTAGTTTTTATCCAAAAACCAAATTAATGAATCAAATATATATACTTGCATTTTAATTTTGTACCATTGCTTTGCAGTGAGAGATATAAAAAATCACATCGAAAGGACAACACGAAATAGTGAGATGGTACTTAACATTGGTAAGAACATATTATTGATTTAATGATACTTGAAAAAAAGATTTATTCTCTTGTCAGTATTATATAATTTTATGTGTTAAGGATGTTTCCTCCTCTTGTTTTTGAATTTTCGCCATATTTTCGGAATCCTCTGGTTTTATCCATGTATTGCCATTAAACAAATTTTGCCCACTAACCCCTACTTTTCTTTTCATAATGTTATTACATATAGTTTGAAGAGCCATTTTTGAAAATCTTATATCATCCTTGTTATTTTTTCATAGTTTTTGAAAGAAAAAAGGTGCTAATGTTAAATGTATGAAAAATCTAGAGAGAATCATTTCCCGCCAAATTTTCAATTGCTAATTATACCACAAAAACAAGGACACGGACCTATAATTTTTTTCTGCTTTTTAAGTTCCATTATTTATATACTAATAATTTATAACAGTCTTTAAAATAGTTTGTTATTTTGAAACAGTGGAGCGAACATCCTTAACAAGACGTGTTTCTGGAATAAACTTCACATAGTAGCTGTTATTCTTCAGTTTAAATTATACAAACATAGTTTTAATGATTTAATATGTCTCATATCTTTTCATCTCTGGATTTATGAAGTTTCAATACACATTTGATATAAAAAAAAAATAATAGACAATTGTCAAATATGGAATGATTAAAGTAAATGAACCAATATTTATTGATTTCAAGTTGTTCGAACAAATACAGAAGATAAAAAAAAATTGAACATTTCGGAAGAGTATTACCTTCATGAATTGAATGAGATGTGTGATAGATACGCCGATGACACAACAAACCAACGACATAAATAATCAAAAGGCATTTAGAGAATAAAATACACTATGGAACAAAAGATAGGTGTCTACACAATGTTTAAAGCTGTAAATCGATAGGTTTCTACACAATGTGTTTAGCAGTAAACCGATAAATGTCTTTGCAATGTGTTAATCAATAAATCGATAAGTGTCTACCACACTAGCTGTTGTTAAGCAGTAAATCTATAATTGTCTTCGCGATGTGTTAAGCATGCAATAAATCGATAAGTGCCTACACAATGTGTTAAGCAGTAAACTGATAAGTGTTTATACAATGTTTTTATTAGTAAACCGACAAGTGTCTACACAATGTATTAAGCATGTGTTAATCAATAAATCGATAAGTGTCTACATAAAGTGTTAAGCTTCAAATCGAAATTTGTCTACACGATGTCATCTTCGCTAGCCAAGGGTTACGATCCACTTGAGAGGAGGGAAGTGGATCGTAACCCTTGGCTAGCGAAGATGACACGATGTGTGAAGCTGTAAATCCCCATTGTTTTAAGCTGTAATCGATAGGTTCCTACACAATGTGTTAAGCTGTAAATCTGTAATGTGTTAAGCTGTAAATCGGTTGGTGTCTACACAATGTGTTAAGCTGTAAACCTATAGGTGTCTTCTCCATTGTTTTAAGCTGTAAATCGATAGGTTGCTACACAATGTATTAAACTGCAAATCAATGTGTTAAGTTGTAAATCGTCTTTTTGTCCCTTGTTTAGTCAGTATGTTACATGTATTTACTTGATGCATTAAGTATTTCTGTGGTAACAAAAAACTTTCATCATACACTGCTATACCCCCAATGGTGCAAGTGTGGTTGATTATGTTGCTGTGTCGGAAGAAATTCTTGAAAATGTACTGTATTTTAAAGTATCCAGATTTATTCCCACATTATCTGATTGTCATTGTAAACTTGAGTGGGAATTATCTGCAAAATATTGTGTTCCTGGAGAAAATGATATTCCAATCCAGTTGAAAAATATGACACCTAATTATATCTGGACTGACTGTTCAGCAATAAAATTTCAAGAAACACTTTCTTCAGATACACTACAAAACTACATACTAGAATTCAACAACAGCACAATTCAATTTACTCAGACATCAGTAGATGAAGCATCATCAAAACTTTCAAACATCTTTTTATCAGCAGCAAATCTATCACTTAAACGACCTTTAAAAAAACACACAAACAAACAAAAAAACAAAAAGTGGTTTGACGCAAGTTTACAACAAGCTCGAACTAACTTGCTTAATTATGGAAAAATGTATTCAAGATTTCCATATGATCCAATTATCAAAAATCACTTTTATAAACTGAATCGTGAATACTCCAAACTAAGGAAATATAAATACAAACAATACAAACAATCATTGATTAGTCAGCTGGACTCCTTGCACGAAGAGAATCCAAAACTGTATTGGAACTTAATTAATGAACTACAGGAAAAAAATGAAACTAAAAAAAAATGTGGAGTACAACCATCAACTTTGATATCACATTTCCAAAAGTTGTCACAACTGAAAGGTGAATTTCAAAGTAGATATACAGAGCTATGTGAAAAACTGAAACAGTTAGAAAACTCAAAATGTTTCAACGAGTTGGACTCCGTTATCACTGAGTCTGAAATATCCAAAGCCATTTCACACTTAAAATGCAATAAATCATCAGGCTTGGATAACATTAGTAATAATATGATAAAGAATGGACAGACTTTCCTTTTAAAAAGTTTTCAACAGATGTTTAATACTTGTCTGTCTTCAGGTATATACCCAACATCTTGGGCTGAAGGTTATATTACACCAATTTTTAAAAACAACGATACAAGTGACCCTAACAATTATAGAGGAATAACAATAACAAGTGCAATTGGAAAGCTTTTTAATAGAATATTAAGTCTAAGACTGGACAAATTTCTTCAGGAACATAATATTATACATGATAGTCAAATTGGATTCACAAGGAAAGCCAGAACTGCAGATCATATGTTTATTTTAAACTGTCTTATTAACAAATACTGTAATTCAAAAGAAGGTAGACTGTTTGCCTGTTTTGTTGATTTTCAGAAGGCTTTTGATACTGTTATACATACAGGGATCAAGATTAAACTACTAGATATTGGGGCTGGGTCTTATTTTTATAACATTATTAAAAGTATGTATGAAATTAGCAAATCATGTGTCAAAATTCAAAATCAAGTAAGTGATTTTTTCCCATTAGATATTGGAGTCAAACAAGGTGACAACCTCAGTCCGAATTTATTCAAGATATTCATAAATGATTTGCCCAGATATTTGTCAGATACTAGAGACCCAGTTAATGTCAATGACAAAGATCTACATTGTTTAATGTATGCTGATGATATTGTTTTATTATCTACATCAGCTGAAGGACTACGAGAAAAGCTGGGAATGCTTGATAAATTTTGCAAAGATTGGTGTCTCAATGTGAATACTAATAAGACAAAGGTGCTGATTTTCAACAAGGCAGGCAGACATGTAAAACAGATATTCACATTTCAGAATATAAATCTGGAATGTGTTTCAAAATACAAATACCTAGGTTTATATTTAAGCTCATCTGGTTCATACAGTTATGCTCAAAATGAACTATACAAAAAATCCCTGAAAGCTCATTTCAAATTAAGGAAAGATCTTTTATCACTTAATCCTGATGTAAAAACAAGTATTCATGTTTTTGACCACACTGTAAAACCTATTTTATTATATGGTAGCGAAATATGGGGGATGTTTAATTCTCTTTCCTCTAAATGTAAGAAGGAAGATATATCTTTTGAAAAATTATATTCAGGTTTACCCTGTGAGAAACTTCATATAAAATTTTGTAAATTTATACTTGGGGTACACAAGAAAACAACAAATGCTGCAGTGTTATCTGAACTTGGAAGATTTCCAATATATTTTAATATTATAAAAGGAATGTAATTGTACTGGTATAGATTAGAGAATTTAGGTAATAATTTTCCTCTTTTAAAAGAGGCATATACACAATCAAAGACACTACATCACATGAATATAACATCATGGTATGGTTCAATAAATGTTGTTTTTAAAATACTTGGTATTGACTATACAAATGCCATAAATGCTCCATTTTGTGAATCCTTATACAAATTTAAGAAATATATACAAACCAAGCTATCAATATTGTTTATTAGCTGTTGGAAAAAACAAATAGATAAATTTTCAGACAGTAAACTGAAAACCTACCTTTTATATAAAACAAATTTTGGTTTTGAAAAATATCTAACATTGATCAAGAATTTTGAACTTAGAAGAAGTTTTACTAAATTACGTGTATCTTCTCATAGATTACAAATAGAATTAGGTAGATATCAGGGTATTCCCCGAATTAACAGAATATGTAATAAATGTTCTTCCAATACTGTCGAAGATGAGGCTCATTTTCTATTTGATTGTAACAAATTTGAGGATGATAGAAATTGTATGTTAGCTAGTATTGCACAATATAATTCTTATTTTAATCATATGAACAGTCAAAGCAAAATTATCTGGTTATTTAGTGTAGAAAATGTTGAGTTACTTAAAATAATATGTAATTTTATATACAAACATCTTCCTTAGTGAAGATTAGTTAAAGGAAATCTATGTGTGTATATACATTTGATTGGACATAGAAAATTATATTCATCTGAATATCACAAACATACTAGCCGATTAAAAAAAAAAATAATTGTTAAGATATATTATTTATTCAAATGTTCTCTTATATCCTTGAGGCATCGTCCCCTGGTATCAACTGCATTCAAGTTACCTATGATGCTTCCTTGTTTGCTTTTGATACAGGTAGGAAAGAGACATTTACACACATTTTACATGCCTATGGCCCATAAGGTATCGCCCCCTGGTGTCAGCTGCCTTTAGGAAACCATAATGCTTTCCTATTTGCTGCTGACACAGGATGAGTCATGGACATGTTTAATTTCTACTTTCTTTTTGGCTAATTATTATATATTTAATTGATCCAACTTTTTGTGTACTATACATATGTGGATATCTATTTTTCTTTTTTTCTTTTTGGGCTGCTTGTTTGTTATCTATATCAACCACACTTGCAATAAAATGCATTAGTATTAAAAAAAACAACATACTATAGATTCTTTATCTACGTATTCTTTAAGAACTTAAATAGTTCTTGTTTAACTTTTTTTTTTTTTTTTTTTATCTCATTGTTTGTATTGTATTATGAAAAAAATTATTGATGTTGTAATGTTTATGCCCTTTGGGGTCCATAATTGGAAATAAAAATATCTTATCTTATCTTATCTTATCTTATACTAAAATGCTACAGAGTAAACCTAATAGACGCAGATCATTTTTGTGACTAGTTATATTTGTTTTTTTTTTTAGGGAATATTGATAATGAAAACAATCTTGGTTCAAGTACCGCATGCAAAACTGTAACATCGTTAAACACAGATCTCAAAGTTGTTGGTGAAAACAACTTGTCAGATAACTGTTTACCATCGATAAACACAGACAAAAAAGTTATTGGTGCAAATAACTTCTCCGATAATTGTTTACCATCGTTAAACATAGATAAAAATGTTTTTGGGGAAAACAACTTATCCGACAACTGTTTACAAGAAGATGAAGGCTATAGGACGTGCTCGTTAAATGATGAAGAACTTCGATCCTTAATAAATGGAAACGAAAACGAGGCAGTGAATCTTCAACAAGTGGATAGTGTTGAGAGTACAATAAGTAGAATTAGTAGAGAGAACACATCTATTACAGATCACAATAGGAATGAGACAACTAAACTTGCCAATATTAACAATACAGGAGACATAGAGATAAACATTCGCTGTGCAGTTGAAAATAAAAAACGCGGGACAGTTGAAAATAGCAAAATCAAAAAGTTAGATAAGGTTGAAGACACAGAGAGAAGCATATGTGCAGATGATGGAGTTCGTTATCTGGTACCGCGACCAGTCAGTCCAGTTTATGAAGACGATGGATTTCTAACTACAGACGATAGTAAGTTACATTTTCATTCACAATTTATAATTTATCATTGCTAATGCTTTTTGTGGTATCTGTATAACGATGATGAATTATTCATCGGAATTTGGAGTATTTTTATATCAGTTCTAATATGCAATATGACTAAATGAGAAGTACATACAGTAGTAGAGATTTACGGAAAGTCTCGGTACCAACTTTGACAGGTCAAATGTAGGGGAAGTCTCAAAATAAAAATAAAATGCATTATGATACTAGCATTTCAAGGTAAAAGTTGCAAATAACTGTTAAACACGATCTTACAGAACGATCTATGCAATTAAATAAGGATTGCCGTCGGTTCTGTCTGTCTGTTCACAAGTCCTGCTCAGGTCATGCACAGGTCTCCACAATTTGTCTGAGTTTTTGTCTATGGTCCCTCCAAAATATGATAAAATACCCATCACACTGTATTAATTTTTCAGGTCATTAATGGCACGTGGGACAATAATTCTATATTCCGCAATGATGCGATTGAATTTTCGACACTTCCGTTTCTGGTGATCGGGTTTCTATTGATTTGCTGACACGTAATGGCGATTCCAATTTGAATAATTCTTATCTCCTATCGGCATATATTTTTCCGGGAAATTTAGCCGTGCTTCAGTCCAATTTGTCTTATCATCACGTACTACTATGTGTCATTTTAAAGGCCTAAAATCCGCTTTCAAAGTAACAAAAGTTTCCCTCGTTGTCAACTATAACTTGCGTATGTATGGCGTGGTAGTGACCATGACCGGAAAAATACATTTCTTGCGACTCAATTTGTAGCCTGTATATATATTTATGCAGAAGTGCCGTCTATTGCACCGACTGCAGCAGGGAGTCTAGGCCAAGTACCTCGTTTTCCCCTCCATTGGTTCAGAGCAGGCCACTACACGAAAAACCCCAAAGCTCTTTGAAATATTGGAATACATGTAGTAATTTCCGCTTGAGATGTTGTAACCCTAACGTTGATAATCAACCAGAGAAAACATGGTATGATGGATGCGACCGAATACACATTATATACAACATAACCCGATTTTCTATATACAATTTCACAAATATTATCCCCCTCTTGTAAGCTTACTTGGGCCAAAGGTATTTGTAAGCTATTATCATGATCACTTGTCATCCGTCGTTGTCCTTTGTCCTTTCCGGCTTAAAAAGTATTTGAACCAAGCTTTGTAAATAACTAAAGAGTGCTCTTTAGATGAGAGGTTACATTACAAAATTTATTTCTGACAGCCCTAAGTATCTAATATAGAAATGGTCATTACAGCCTTTGAGTAGTTAACTTCTCGTCAAAAACTACTAAATGCAGGTTTGAAATTAGATGGTAAGAATGTTCCTGATATTATTCTCCACCAAAACTGGCACTGACTATTCCAAACATTTTTAAAACATGGCCACCATGGGATGTGATTGGCTGACAAATTTTCGTCAAACATTTATTGGCCCATTAGCTAAAACCCTGATCGGTCATTTTCCCAAATTGTGTCTCATGGCACATGAATTGTCAGAATGGCTGCACAGCCTCTAATTGGTTGCCACAAATTTTCAAGTAATTTTTGCCAGCATTGATTATCTGTTCCCGTTTCTCCCACTCCCCCTGGATAACTAACCTTCCCTCTATTTTCGTATAGATCTGTTGAACAGGTAAATATATTTATCAGAAAACGGGATTTTTTTTTATTTGTGTATACTATGACATTGTAGTTGTAAAAAAAATCATATAGAAATTCTTAACTGGCTTCAAATACATGAGTACAGACATGAGCTTGTGACACATTCGATTGAAATTTAAATTTTGCTGTTTATTGCCGGTGGTGCGATACATACTACGACCATGGAGACTCTGGTTTTATTTGCACAAAAAATACCTTATTAATCAAGTTCGCCGCAAAATTCACATTTGAGATGACCCATTTCGTTTTACTTGTCAATGTCGGTGTCAACAGTCGGTGCTGGCACTTCCGTAAACCTGTAATAAGAGAGCAGCCGAATAATAAAAACAGCCAAAAGACAGCAGAAGGAAATAATATTATACAGTAATAGTTGCATTATGATAACGAATCTGAACTAGAAATCATAATGGATATAATATTTCATGAAATTAGGCATATACTTATTCAGCCATTTCCCTAGTGACATATTAGTAGTTTGTTTATGTAATATAATTGTTGACACTTTGATATGTAACATGAACAGTAATTGTTGACACATTTGATATGTAACATGAATAGTTGACACTTTAAAATGTAACATAAAAAGTAACTTTTAACACTTTGTCATGTAACATGCACAGTAACTGTTGACACTTTGATATGTAACATGAAAAGTTGCCACTTTCATATATGTAACATGAACAGTGAGTGACTGTTAACACTTTGTCATGTAACGAACAGTAACTGTTAACACTTTGTCATGTAAAATGAACAGTAACTGTTAACATTTTGTCATTTAAAATGAACAGTGACTGTTGATACTTTGTCATGTAACATGAACAGTTGACACTTTGATGTGTAACACGAACAGTTGACACTTTGATGCGTAACATGAACAATTGACACTTTGATGTGTAACATGAACAGTTGACACTTTGATATGTTACATGAACAGTAACTGTTGACACTTTTAATGTGGATTTATCATTGTAAACACTTCATTTACATAGACAAAAAAAACTTTGGGTATACAGCAATGAGACAGCAACCAAACGACATAAAAACGCAAAGACATTTAGAGATTATAACATAAACTACCACGATTCTTACAAAGTTGTCAATAGAGACTATCAAAGATCTGCCATCAACGTCATTTTTTCAAAATAAACATGAATAACAAAAGCACTAAGCTGGCGGAGTTGCCCCTCTTTTTTTTAACAACGCCGACTAGGGTATTAATACAAGTTATATCAAAGAACTTAAAACAATCGGTTCAGAAAAAGCGTTAAACTCTACAAAAAATTTTGACAAATAACAAATACACAATACACGATTAATAAAATAAGTACTAGTATATGAGTATTATAGTTATATATCAAAGTGTTTTCTGAGACTTAGAGAATTATAAGAAGCTATGGATTATAAGCAATAGTAGTTTGCTTATGTCCATATCTCATAAATTCATTTAAATGATAAAGGTCAAGGTAAAAATACAAACCTTAGGAAATCGCATGAACTCCAAAAAAAGAGTGAGAATAGGTGCATCGACGGGTTAACATCTCCTGCTGTGCATGTACCGCCCACCATGCGAATGTAAAAATAAATTAAATTAAGTTGATCAAACTTATCGATTATTTGTTTTTATTTTTAGGGGAAGGTTTTCTAAAAAGATATTCTGCTTGCATTTGTTGTGCTGATGAAAATATAAATCTTGCTAATGAAATCATCATGAAATACAAAGACCAGAACGCTGATTTCTTTTTGCCACAGGAAGCATTGCTAAGTGGAAAATACGAATTTGAAACCTTAGCGGAAGTCATAGAAACAAGGTAAATTACCTATTTATTCCATAACGGTGAAATATGTTTTATGTTTTCCCCCAAGCTCCTCCAGCATGAAAAAAAATAGATATTACAAGCACCATATTTAATATTGGGATATCAATCATACTTTAAATATGCATTTAATATATATTGTGTTCTATTTGTCTGTCTTATCAATGCATCAATCTGTATTGAATTTCTGTTCCGACTTTTTTACTCCCATTTTGCTTTTGGTATGTCCATATGAGAGACGAAGTCATGCACTTTTGTAATATACCTTATTATTTAATAACAAGGAATTTTAATTTCTTTTTTTAACGTTTAGATATTGGAAAAATTGTTATTAATTTTAAAATTGAATTCCACTTATAAACACATGATAACAATTATTCTGCATTTAAATAAAGATCACAAGATATAGATTCCTTCTTCCTCAAAATCAAATATTTCCTTATTTCGTTAGGGGTTTTCCAAATAATATTTTCTGTTCACTTTATTACAAAATAATTTTACATAGAAAGTAAAATGTCTAGATTTATGAATTTAATTTCATTTCTTTCCTATCAAATTGATAGATTCCATATTTTATAAAGCCTTCTCTTGTTTCGTTGTCAATGATTTATCATATTCGGACATAAACCTTTCAATTTTACATCACACAAGGTGACAATTTGCATTTAATTGTCAATTATTCTGTAAGTGATTCATAATATATTTAAAGGTGTGACAGCAGACTTATAGTTATTCTCTCTAAACATTACCTTACCAGTCCTGCTTGTGTATTTGCAACACAGTTTGTCAAGACACTCGATCCAGGTAAGCCTTTACAATTTTAAGAGCGAAAAAAATTATGCCTTAGTTACTAAATGAGGGCGATGGGAAAAATTGATATTTTGGACAATATCTGCAAAAGAAAACATACATATAGACGATAAAAGGAAAAATCAAATTTTTTTTATTTTGGATCGTTGCTTGTATGCCGCAGGGCGATGATGCTTTGTCGCTTTATGCCGCCGAGCATTGATGCATCATCACTTTTATGCCGATGAGAAATGTCTGAATCTGCATACAGTACATAATTGAACTTTTTTACTGTTAGAATTTAAAGAAATTAAGTGAACACATTTGTGTGCATTGGAGGTAATAGGTTACCATTCCGGAGAATCTGAGTCATCCGGTTTGTGTTGGGATTCGTGTTGTCTAACCTTCAAGGTTTTGTGTGGACTGCTATTTGTTTTTGTGAATATTGTTGGTCTTCTTGTCATTTTCTTTTGACCATAGTGTTGTGACTGACCTTTGATATTTTCTCCTTTAATAAAGCTAATATTGTTTTTTTTTTCGTAATGTTAGATATTAATAAGGTTTCTTGGTGTATTTTTTTTAACCGTGTAAACGGTCAATTAAAATTGCATCAATTTGTAAACACATTTTAACTATCTCTTTGTATTTTCCAAAAGGGATAAGGTTTGGTGGGGTCATGGTATAGGAGCCTTGTCAAAATTGCAAACTTCTTTTTTTCTTTTCAAACATATGTCAATTTTATTATTAAAGATCAGACTGACACATCTGGTGTACTGTGTACACGATGATTATATTTGCTTATAGTTATTTTATGTTACTATGAGGAATCTTATTTTTTTTTATGAATTTCAATACTTCGATTTAAACAGACCAAAACATTTCATTATCATTCATTAACCATTGCAATCAAATTATACGATTTTAATCATGCCAGTATTAAAGCCTAGCTGCTGATACCATGGGGAATTATAGCATGTGTAAGTCACACAACAACGGTAGCAAAACTGACGATAAACCATGTCGAATGGCTTTTTAAAAGAAAATCATAAAGCTGTTAAAAAGATTTCATGTCAGTCCTGGCTGAATAAGTATTGCATTTTTCAAATTACAAAATTATATTGATTTAATGTTAGATATTATGTATCTATTGAATGTTAACAAATATAAAGTACATGTAGTATAAATAATTTCGTTTCCGGTTGTAACTGTCTAAAACAGAAGATTTACAATTCTGAAGAACATTGAACTATTTGTAAAATGTAATATATGCGTTTCGACTCTAGTAAGTTGTTTCTTAAGAATGCCCTCAATATTTGAAAGATAATCTTTTTTTAATGGATAAATCATGAACTTTCAATGGTTATTTTTTCTTTGAAAAAGTCGTTGTATTTCAACCGAGTTGAATTTTATTTTTTTAGTCCGTCGAAGGGGACTTTAGGTTTGCACTCCGTCCGTCTGTCCGTCCGTCTGTCTGTCCGTCCGGCAAATCAGTTTTCCAGACTTTTTTTCTTCGTGCTTGAATTTATTGATTTGATATTTCGTTTATTGATTTATCATGACAAGTTACAGGTCAAGTTTAATTTTCACGATTTTAGCCTTTCTCTTTGTTCAGTTGAAGCCCTTTCCCTAGAATAAAATTTTTGATGAAATACTTATTAATTAGTAGATTTCTGTTCGAAGGGAAATGACTCATTTTTTAAAAGATTTAAAAGACAAAATGACATTTTCAATTTTTTCCTTTTCTTTGGTAAATTGTTTGAATAATTTAGTGGACAGGTAGTTTTGTTTGTCATTCTTGAAGATATTGATTTGATAATTAGTATATAGTTTTATCGTGACAATTTACAGATCAAGTTGGAATTTTGTTCCAGTCTGATAATTTTGTGCAGAGTTATGTATGGTCTTTGGACATAGAAAATTCACTTAAATAATCAGTTTTCAACAGTTTTTTTCGTCGTGTTTGAAGATTTTGACTTGATATTTTTGTGTAGTTAACACCATGACAAGTTAGAATTTCGTTCCATTACAATGAATTTGTAACCGGTAGGGGACTATGTATTGCCATGCAATACTCACAGAATGCTTGTTACTCTAGCAGTGTTCTTTTTTCCATTTTTATGGCTGAGGAACTAAAGATATTTTTTTAATTCGATTGATTGAGTTTTAAAACAATGTGTAATACTATTGCTTTATGGAACACAGTAGGTGTCACAAATTTTTAAGTTGTAGACAATGTCAAGAACCTTTAGAATGTTTGCAAAACATAGCATATTTGCCTTTTCGGACATTAGTTTCTGAATTACTGTAATGCAGACATACAATCTTCATCACGATGAAGAGACGATGGTGTATAAATACAAACGAAGCTATACATACAACCTTTCAACGGTCAACTTTTCACCGATTATGTTTTGGGTGAAATTTTCAAACTTATCAACTTTGATTTTATCAAAACTCATGCAATCATCTTTGTTCCGACGACTTGATAACAAAGTGGAAGGTACCCCCAATGAACTTATTGTCCCGTAGCACTGGTATTCCACAGACTGGTAGTAACGCATATAGCGTTAATAGATATAAGAAGATGAGGTATGAGTGCCAATGAGACAACTCTCCATCCAAGTCACAATTTGTAAAAGTAAACAATTATAGGTCAAAGTACGGCCTTCAACACAGAGCCTTGGCTCACACCGAACATCAAGCTATAAGGGCCCCAAAATGACTAGTGTAAAACAATTCAAACAGGAAAACCAACGGTCTAATCTATATAAAAACGAGAAATTCATAGGTGTATCTAATACACACAGAAACCACTGAATTACTCCTGACTTGGGACAGGCACACACAGAATGTGGCGGGGTTACTAGGTCACATGCCAACCTCTTAAAGAAATTTTGAAAAAAGAAAATGATTGAAACATTTTCTTAAGGGATACTTTATTTAATTCAATAATATTCAAAACTAAATTTTGAAAACCGTAAATGAATATCCAACAAAGACGAAAGGATAACAACAGGTTACTACATGATTTTCAACAATGAACAAAACCCATACCGTATAGTAAAGAGCTTTAAAAAAGGTCCCCATATGACAAAGTATAAAAAAAAAATAATTCTTAAAAGAATAGGTTAAAAGAACCTTATTTATTTGAGGAAGTAAAAAAAAAAAAACTCTATTAGGTATGGCTTTTGTTCATTATTCAAACTGTTTGGTATTCCTTTGTTGATTAAATCCACGTCATTTGGACTCTGTTGGATAGTTGTCTCATTGGCAATCATACCAAATCTCCTTAGTTTATATAATTGCAAGGAAGTATCTTAGAAAAGGCTACGTAAAGGTAAAAAAATAAGTTTTGTGTAAAAGTTTGCTATGATTTTGAATGTATCTTATAATCGCATAAATCAAAAAAAGAAACACCTAATATATCGTATAGTATTACTTATCTCCCTTTGAACGCGCATTTTAAATACATTTGAGATCGGTCTTAATTTTGATTTTCTAACTGGAATCTAAAAACTTGAAGCAAACCCATCATCCCTTACTTTTATTCATATATATGTATATTTATTTACAGGCTAAAATCTAGTAACATAGGTTATTGACATTAATTATAGGGCGCCATTAAATTGAATTTAATTTGTTTTTTATCAGAAGGTTAACTAATAAAAATCAACGTTTGAAAGGACGATGTGGGTGTGGATTGTAGAGTAAAAGACTTTTTTGTGGTATTTCCGTTTAGTATGTTATTATTTTCAACATTATTTTCATAATATCACCATCACATGACAGTTAATTTGATTCACGATATGAATATTTTATTGGTATTTTTTCAGATGCTAAACGCAGAAAGATTATTCCCGTACTCCTAGATGAAGATGTATCTTATCCCCGTGTCTTACGTGGCATCAGCTCAATTAAAGCCCGGCGGCTAAAGTTTGGACATGGATTTTGGAATTTACTGGGTTCGTCGTTACGTCTAAAAAAAGTTATAAATGATGAAGAAATAAACAATGCCAACAAACTCAACATGAACAGTTTCGACAAAACCGATCAATTTTGTTTACACAAACAGTGTGATGCAACTCAACAGATGGAAAAGTCTGAAAAAAATAATTCATTCCAACAACAAATGGATCATTTAAATTCTACGGAAAAAATGTCGTGTGTTCTGACTAATGATTTTCCATCGGATAAACCTGCCATGAGCGTTGCTTGTTGTGATCTACCAAGTGGTGCCTCAGGAATATGTCAAAAAGAACAATATGCGAGTCTTACAACGGGTAAGAAAGACAAGAAAAATCCGGGACTTAAAACTCTTAGACGGATTATGAAAAGTTTAAATATCATTGACCGGAAGCCCAAATTACAATACACAAAACGTTCTCATTCGACAGGAGAGGCTATACCGCAACCAACACACGCACATGTAGAGCCGAGATCACATTCTACTAATGTTCCTCCCACAATGGATACATATTTATCTGATGAACTGGCCCATACATGTTCATCACCTATTTTTAACATATGTCATACAGAATCAGAGCTAACACTTTCAAGTGATAGCGATACATTGTCGGCGCAAGATAGTACCAATAACTTGTCAAGCTGTGAGTACAGTGAAATAAAAAATGACCTTTCTAATGATTTGCAAAATTTGCATAAGAAGAGTAATGCTAATTCTTCTGGTCAATCAAGTGGTCAAAATATTCTTAGCCCCAATATAGAACCGCTATCGCCTAAGGATTTAACAACTGAAACGAACAATCTTGATTCAACATCAAGACAACCAGCACGTGATGATAATGTTATACCAGATACCGGATCTACGTCATATGATACCACGAGTTTATTGTCCGAAGTCACAAGTTCAGATAACAATAGCATTGTTTCGAATTCTAGAAAGGAATCGTTAGACAATTGCAGTTATGCATCTTCCTTTCGACAAATGAAATTTGGGAACGACAGTCGGCAGACCTCTTTCGAGAGTAATAGGTCAGCTTCGTTTGACGGGAATAGTATGACGTCAATCGAAGACAACATGGCTGCTGATAAACAAACAGGATTTTTTTCATGTGAACAAATTGTCAGTAGTGACAAAGGAACTAGAAGGAAATCAGGAGTCGTGTTTGAAATTATGCTGTAAATAAGTACGTGTTTCTTTTGATTCGAAATAAACAGACCATGGAAAAATAAAGGAATAGCTATGTATGATAAAAAATTAATTAAATGGCATATATGTTTATAAAACAAATTCGTTCTAGTCCAAAATATGTAATCTTTGTTTGTGTGCGCTAAATTAAAATGTTCAATTGTGAAATGCTTGTCTGTCACAAAATGTTATATCAATACCATTGTATCATAGTAATCTTTGAATTATTTCATTTTGGTACCGAACAAATTGGATACAAATGAATGCCAAGCAACGACTTAAACTCTGAAAACACATTGCAATTACCTACAGTGTGCAATTAGATTCGTTATACATTACCAGTCACATAATGCACCACCGGACACTTGTGTGCAGCATCGTAAGTTATCTTAGATTGTTAATGTCTGTAGCGAGTTCAATGTACATTCAACTGACCAAGTTGAACGCTAAAATAATCAACAAGACTTGGACGAAATGCACAGACTTAGATTCGATAAGTTTCCCTTTTTATCTTTATAGAATGTCATGAATTAAAGAAAATGTGGGTACACATAAATGAGATAGCAAACAAACGACACAAAGAACCCAAAAGATAGCTTGAGGTCATCATAAGGTCTACTAATATTGACAATATCCTCACAGTATGTGAAATTCTAAACCAACCACGATCCGCACAACCGTAGAAAAATTGGGACTGGAAATAAAAACTATGTGTTTTGCAATCAACAATATGTTCATCAAAAGACCAAAGAAGTTGTGATTTAACTGAAGTCGATTCTGACACAGTTCTTTATTTTGGATAGGTATAATTATGAGAATGTAGTGGAGTTATACTAATTATCTAACAAATCAGCGCTCTTCTATTAATCTTTATGAATTGATTAACTAACTTACATCGATGAACTTTCGATAAAACCAGTTAGGAAAAGTACTGGACAATAGACAATAAAAACACCAGAACCAGTACAGCTATACGAACTTTCTTGAACTTTGTCTTAGTTGATATATATCTGCTTTTTGGCTCATGTCTGATACCAAACTTTGCTCATAACTATGTGTTAACAAAAGAGAGGCGAAAGATACCAAATGGACATTCAAACTTGTAAGTCGAAAATAAACTGACAACGCCATGGCAAAAAACGAAAATGACCAAAAGACAAAAACAGCATACAAAACACAACATAGAAAACTAAAGATTTAGCATCACGAACTCCACCAGGGTGATCTCAAGTGCTCCGGAAAGGTAAGCAGATCCTGCTCCACATGTGGCACCCATTGTGTTGCCCATGTTAGTACAAACCCATTGATAAGTCTAATTTAGTAGGTCACATTCGGAGTAAAGAGGACGGGATTGCGGTGACGACTATTTGAACATCTTTAGAAAGATGCCAGAACTTTCCCGAGTTTAGATATATTATTTTCAATGCTTAAGTTATATATGCGACACATCGTTACAATAAAAGGTAGGATGAAAAATACCGTCAATTATTAATTTTTACAAGAAACATTATAGTTAAAGATATTGAGATGCTGATAACGAACTGATCAGCACGAAAGGAGATCTGAAATTTATACAAATATAGAAGGTTTTCAAATCATAATGTCAGTCAGATTTGATCAAACCACATAAATGTTTAAAAGTATGAAAACGTTTAAAGTTATCGTTTCAGAGATGGAAAAAACATTTCGAAAATTTGCAAATTATTTCTGGTGGAAAGGGTTTTTCGCCTCATAGCGAATATATACAAAGGATATTTCAAACATTATACATGAATATATATAGATTTTGCAAGTTTCCACTTGGTTCGATATAATCTGAGCAAATTTGGAAGTCTATCTATACAGCATGTCTGAAGAGTTTGGTCAAATTTTGTTGAATATTTAAGCTGTCAATGTCATGCGTCCTTGTATTTTTGTGGGAACCTAATTTCTGCCGAGTCACCGTGTAATGTGATCAAACACTTAATCATATTCACAAGTATTCCTTTGTCTGTCATTTCGGGGCCTCTTATAGCTTACTAAATTGTATGGGTTTGGTTCATTGTTGAAGGTCATATAGTTGTGACCTGTGGTTGTTTAAAATTTCGTCAGGTTACTGTTGGATAGTTTTCTCATTAGCAATCATACCAAATCTCCTTATTTCTATATTCCTATTCGAATAGCTGGGTTCCTTCTTGGAAAGATAATATCCATAAATTAAGAGAAATTATAAAATAACATTACAAGAGGACAGAGATATACAGATGATGGTAGATTTGTTGTTACAAGAGGACAGAGATATACAGATTATGGTAGATTTGTTGTTACAAGAGGACAGAGATATACAGATAAAGTTAGATTTGTTTGTTTTTGTTTGATATTTGTTGTTATATTTTGGTATGTTTTTTTTCCAATTTTCATAACTTTTCTTTTAATTTTCTGGTGGGGGTGGGGGGGGGGGGGGGGTAGGGGGGGGGGGGGGCATCTGCTTATACAATGTGATTGATAAAGATTTGTATAGGTGTACAATTAAAACGGTTATATACATTGTTTCTTTTCTATTAAATCGTGCAAAACGTACAGTCAGAGTCAAAATGTTTCATGTCATGCATGAATGTTATTTGTATGGTACATTAATATGTTGAATATCTTGCAAATATATGTATATATATTGAATACTATTATGTAAATTCTGGTTAAAAATGCACTTTTTTGTCAATGTATATGTCAAAATTAGTAGACATGATAAAATCATATACTTTCTTTTAGTCGTTTATTACAAATGTTCAATGGAGCAGAACGACCAAAGATAAGTGATGTTTGCAATTATCTAGATTTGTCGAAATTACTAAAGGATATATAGCAAATAATCATTAAATTTTATGATGCAGCTTTTAAAGATTTCATAAACAAGTTTTTTTTATAAAACGCTTTAAAAACAACGTATTTAATGTTTTATTTAACGTTTTTATTAAACTTTTATTCATTGCCTCCCAAGTTTCTTAATATCTCGGTAATTAACACTGAGACTGTCGGGCAAATAATGATAGTTTTTGGTAGATTTGTTTGCCAGTAAATGTCTGTAATTTCTTATTTTGTATTTTCCACGAGTCTTTGCTCTGCAATGAAGAATTGTAGAGTTGACAACATGCAGCAAACAATTCCACCTTACAAGCGTCCGTGCTGAACTGGAAAGATGACGAGCTTCGACTTTATGTTAACAGCATCGCTGTATCTTAGAGGTGAATAGCAGACATAAAGTATTGTTGGTAATATTAAACGACCATATCTCAGTTTTCCATTCCACCTCGAGAGACCAGTTGCACCAATAAGTAAATCATCTCCTGACATCATGCAACACCCGTCTTACGATGGAAATGCAAATGAAGTAGCAATTTTTAAATCCATGAACATGGCAAACCCAATCTACATGTATTATCAGATAGACGGTCATGGATCTACCCATAAACAGGGGAGAACCAGAAGATACGGCACGGAATAATATGAATATGGAATGAAAAAAGACAGTTTCTAACTTTTAACTTCATTTGGTCTCTAGTGGATATGTGTTTTATTGGCAACCATAACTTATCTTTTTTTCTTTTTATATAGGCAATTCTATAGGCCCCAAAACAAACAAGCATCAGAGAACAGTTCACAAACATATTCTAAAAACTAAGAATTGACCAAATAATAATTAGATTGAAATTATATCTTTAACTTTGTTCCATTAGATTTGTTTTGTCGTGATCAGATCTGTCAAAACCTAATATGGGGTCATACTTCGTTGACCTTCTATGCAAATTTTTAATTAGCCAATCATTTCGAGGTACACGCTGTCACTTGTATTACAATGTTTCCCCCGAAAACATAGATTAACGAAGTTAGAACATCATTTCGCCTGTATAATTAATCATTCTTTTGTCAACTTACGATGTTTAAGAAATTATAAATATAACATCGAACATCGAATTTCCAGATTATATTCTAGAATATTATTCATCTTACCTGAAAATATAACGGTTGACCAAAACTTTTAGGTAAGATTTGTTTGGATGCTAAAAGGTCACTGACCATGACTCCTTATAGGGTGTTTGCATATCTTACATGAGCAACAACCAAATGATATGCAGCTAAATGAGGAATCAAATTTTAATCAGATTGGTCCCAAAGGAAACCTTCAGAAAACCGGGTAAGACCTTAAATGGTTCGGAAGAGTAAACAGTTTTTGATCCACTGTTGGCAACCGTCGTGTGACTCATGTTAACATAATTATGTTGAGTCACAACCTGTGATAGTGTAATTTACAAAAAAACTAATTGGTAAAAGTCTTTAAATTTGTTTAACCCTTAAAGATCTACCAAGTTATAAACCGTGGATTCATTGGCAAAGGTCTCAGAAGCTCAAGACACTGAGACATAGCAAGAGTATGTTAAACGCGAGCCGATCAATCTTTGCACTTACTCTTCGTACGCATGCTTAATAGAAGTAGCTTATATCTTTGCCAAGGCCTCGGTTTGAACTACCGGGAACAATGTGTAATTGCAACTTTAAATCTTGCGGTTTGATAGCTTCGGTCGTTCTCCCCATATCTTTCTAGAGTAGTATTTGAGTTAAAAGTATGCAACTATTTGCAAAATAGTAATTATGATCAATTATGGACAATTCTTTGTCATGCAGTTTCACTTTGGAATGAGATATGTAAATGCCATAAAAATGTGCAGCTATTTCTGATTACTCAAACATGTAAATTCCATAAAAATGTGCAGGTATTTCTGATTACTCGAACATGTAATACCATAAAAATGTGCAGGTATTTCTGATTGCTCAAACATTCTAGGTTGACAATATGAAAATTACAAAATTGCGCTTTTGAAGTTGTTTATCAGTGCTAACTTAAAGGGGCACTAGCTACGAGATATATAAAAAATCTAATATTTGTTTTTGTTTTTTTCAATCATTAATGAAAGTGATATAGTGAAATAATTATTCGCTTTTAGCCGCCAGTATGGTTCAATTTTGTCAAAATAAGCTAAGAAACATTGATGATGAATTATTAACTTGCAAGTGAATAATTCGACCCCATTGGATCCGTATTCATGTGAACTTCGATTTAACCCCTTAGCTAGAGATGGATAACACGTGAATTGTATGTGTAAAGTTATTTAAAGGAAAAGAATGTCAACATTGAAAGTGAAACAAAGGTAAATCATTTGATTGACTGATCCGATCCACAA